TTTGGGGGGTCAAATGGCTAGGCTAAAGGTCCACTGAAACTGCGGCTACGAGCACTAGCAGCAGCAGCAGCAGCAGCAGCAACAGCCGCAGCAGCAGCTGCAGCAGCAACCGCAGCAGCAGCCGCAGCAGCACCCATGCTGCGAAGTATCTCTACAGCCTCAGCCTTCAGGCGCAGGGCTCTGCCCCCGCGTCGACCCCACTTGCTGCAGCAGCAACATGCAGGTGCAAGGGAAGCGGCAGCAGCAGCCACAGCAGCTGCATCAGCAGCAGCACCTGCAGCAGCTTGTTGGTCTTATGCTGCTGCAGCAGAGGGTGTTAGCTGCAGGGGGAGATGGGCCCCTAGAGAAAATACTGGCTCCATGTGCTGCTGCAGCCGCTGCTGTCGCTGCTTGAGCTGCAGCAGCTGTAGCACCAGCAGCAGCAGCAGCAGCAGCAGCAGCAGCAACTTCAGGGGGGCAAGGAGGAGCATCAGCACTCTCTTTAAGCAGGTAGGGGATGATGCATGTCTTTAGTTGCTGCTGCTGCTGCTGCTGTTGCCTGGGTAGCTGCTGCTGCAGCCTGACGTGAAGCCTTGCTCGTTCATATTGCTGCTGCGGGTACTGTGCTGCTGCTGCTGCTTCTGCTGCTGCTGCTGCTGCTGCTGCTGCAGCATTCTGGCGAGGGTCTTCCAGCCATTCAAGCCGATGGAGTCTCAACCAACGCGGTGTATCTGCAGCAGATGCAGCAGTAAGCAGCAGCTTCGTGCTGCAGCTGTTGCTGTTGCTGCTGCATCAGTTGCTGCTGTAATTTGTGTTGCTGGTGCTGCAGTGGTTGCTTGGTAGAGCTGCTGTTGCTTCTGCTAGTGCTGCTCATGTTGCTGCTGCTGCTGCTCTTGCTGCTGCTGCTGCTGCTCTTTTTGCTGCTGCTGCTGCAGGTCTATAGCTAGCCAAATCCTCGAGGCATGCGATTACTATGGCATCCCCGTGCAGCAGGGAGTGCAGGAGCAGCAGCAGCAGCAGCAGCAGCAGCAGCAGCAGCAAGAGGAGGAGAAGCAGCAGCAGGAGTATAGTGCAGGGCTTCGCGTTAGTTTGTTGCTGCCCCCGTCCCCCTTGTCTTTTGCTGCAGTTGCTGCTGTTGCTGCAGTAGGGGGCGTGGCGGTGCCTCTGCCGTTTGCTGATGCTGCTGTTGCTGCAGATACAGCAGCAGCTGCAGCAGCAGCAGCAGGAGGCGTAGCTGCAGCAAGTGCAGCAGTAGTGATGCCGCTGGCAGCAGCAGTCGAGGATGCGGGGGGAGAAGTATTTATTACAAAGACAAATGCATGCAGCAGCAGCACGATCTCCAGCAGCAAATCCTTGCGGCTGCTGCAGCAGCAGCTGGCTCAGTCGAGGCCACAGCTGCTGCTAGTACACCCGGCGCTTGCTGCTGCTGCTGCTGCTCTGTGTGAGCAGCTGGGGATTCATGTTTGTATCTGCGGGGCGAGGACTCCAGTAGCAACCGACATATGCATTGCCCAGCAGCAGCAGCAGCAGCAGCAGCAGCAAGCGACAGCCGCAGCAGCAGCAGCAGCAGCAGCAGCAGCAGCAGCAGCGCGACTCTTTGTGAGACAAGCGCCTCTATACACACGCAGGCTGGCAATACAAACAAAGTGGGTCCCTCTAAGGACAGCGGAGGGGGGCCCCCTGGGGCCCCCTCGAGAGGTGAAGGAGGCGCTTGCTGCTGCTGAGAGCAGCAGCAGCAGCAGCAGCAGCAGCAGCACTAGCAGCAATACAAGCTGCAGCAGCCTGCTGGCTTGCGACGCGTGGGGGTTGCTGCTGGAGGCCAGCCGCTGCTGGGGGCAGCCGCGGAGTGTGCTGCTGCCTGCAGCAGCAGTGCAGCAGCAGCTGCAGCGCAGCAGAGAGCAGCTGCTGCAGCACGTATTGCCAGGGCACGAGGCCGTTGTAGCTGCTGCTGCTGCTGCTCTTGTTAAGCCAAAGCTGCTGCTGGCAGCGGTGCTGCCACTGCTGCAGCAGCAAGCCAGCGTCCTGCTGCTGACGAGGCAGCAGAGACCGCCGCTGCCTCTACCTGCACAGGTGGCGCTGCAGCAGCAACCTGCTGATGCTGCAGCAGAAGCACGTGCTGCTGAGACACCGCAGGCGCGAGCTGCTGCGGTTTGGCAACTGCTTCTGCAGCAGCGGAAGCAGCAGCAGCAGCAGCAGCAGCAGCAGCAGCAGCAGCAGCAGCAGCAGCAGCAGCAGCAGCAGCA